TAACCCCCCCCCCCCAAGTCTCTACATGTGAAGAAATAGTCTTTTAAAAAAATCACTCATGCCTACCTGAAGAAATTTGCAAGTTGTGGATTTCCCAGTTGTCGCTAAAGGAGAGCTAGAACTTACATATTTGAAATGAATGTTCCCATAACCTCACTGTATGTGTAGAATTGCAAAGTGGCTTATAAAGTTGAGCCAAAGGCCATCTGGAATAGCATTTATAGCTTCATAATGTTTGTTCTTGAGCTTACGTTCCCTACCATTACTGCACTTTTTTCCATCTTCTTTTTTAGCCAATATTTGCTACTGTCTCCAAAGGGTGGAGATTGTGGCTGTGGAAGCAGTAGATGGATAAAGAATAAGCTTCTTATTTCTTTTATTGTTTGAGGTTGACTTCAGGTTACTACATGAAGAAGTCAAGTAATTTTCTTAGCAACCTTTCAGAAGGGATTCACCATTCTTATCTACAGCTTAGGGAGGTTGACTCAAGGGCAGGACAAGAAATCCCCCACCCATTCTTAGTCCAGTACTTTAATCATGAGACCAAACTAGTTCTCTTAATCTCTGGAGATTAGGTCAATGGCAGTGGGAGGGAAGCTTCTTTGCTTGGTAACTGTATGCTTATACCTATAGTAGAAAATTTGAAAAGAACTCAATACAATAATTAAAAGGTTGGAGAAGGGAGTGGAATTAATATGAATTTAATCCTGCCCTGCCTTCACTCAGTTTTGGGAGTTGTTCCCTTCCAGTCTGACTTTAAATATCCTACAAAATTTGATATGGCTCTGAACCCAAATTATTGGTTTAGTGTAAATTCCATTCCAAAAGGAGGCTTTGTTGGGGAGGGGAATGGATGCCTATCAATGAGTGTTGACTCCTGGTGACTTCCTGGACAGGTTCCTACATTTTTTTTCTGGCAAGATTTCAGAAATGGCTTATCATTGCTTCCTTTCCCAGATGGAGAGTAAGTGAGTGGCCCAAAGTCACCCAGTTGCCTTTATACCCAAGGCAAGACTAGAACTCACTTAATTCTTCAGCATGTGGTGTGGCAAGTCATTTATATTTGCATTTATTTATTTTGCTTTTTTTAAAAAAATGAAATGAACACTGAAATATTTCTAATGCTATTTTCACTACTAAAATGTATGCAGAAATACTTGAAATGTAACTAGAATATGGTAACTGTAACCTGATAAATACACCATGTGTTGTCATTAGGTGCTATCATTTTGAGAAGTATATAACTGAATTGAAATATAGATTTAGACTTAACTATAATTTTGAGCAACTTACAGTTTACGAAAACATTCCAGAGAAAATTTCTGATACATCCTGAGAACCATATTCTGTATCTCACCACCATTACTAAGTCCACCACTAATATCCTGGGAGAACTGCCATGTTTGTAAAGGCTTCCAGAACATCCTCAAGGCAGCAGAGTCACATGGATCTCTTGTGGCATGTAATTTAAGAGGCTGAATGCAGTGACAGAAGAAGCATAGTTCCTGTGTCCTAATAGATGGCATCGTTTGAAAGGACTGAAGCACGTTGTCTATTATATAGTGAAAAATACATATTACCCTCTGTGTTTACACTGATGCTGCCTATTATCCAAAAAATTGAATGCATAACTTAATTATTTTCTTTCTAGGCACTTAAAGTGTTGCGGACATCAGAGTTTATGCCCTATGTAGTTTTTATTGCTGCTCCAGAACTTGAAACACTGCGTGCAATGCACAAAGCTGTGGTTGATGCAGGAATTACAACCAAGCTTCTAACAGTAAGGAAAATTATAATTTTTTTAAAAATATATGTGAGTAATCTAGTTTATTTTATCAGCATTATTAAAGCTACACTTAATATAGTATAGGTCATCTTCAGACTCTGTTCCCTCTTTCTATTGGCCATTTGTAGTTCTTGGACTTTTACTAAACTGTTTAGGCATAGATTATTGCGGATTTTTATTTCATTTTGTTATAATTGCCTCATGTGTTCCAGAAAACTTGGTAAACTAAGTAGTTTGTTGATGTGAGGCAAAGAATGTACTTGATGTCTCTCAATACAGTTTTAAAATATATTATGGAGCAAGAAGTTCTTTTAATTCAAATAACATTCCTAATCTAGTTTCTTAATTGAAAAGTGGGATACACTTCTAGATACTGTAAATATGTGTTGTTATCTGTTGCTTATGACATAGCTCCTGTATTTAAATATATGATGCTATATTTATCCATTTAAAATTGCCAGAATAGCATGCATTAAAATAATAGTTTGGATTCAGATTGTGTTAGAATATGGAAGACAATAGGATTGATAAAGAGCTAGTAAGAATAATTTCAAATATCAAATATAATTCTGAATATAATTAAATCTAAATTTAGCCTAATGTGTGTGAAGCTCTAAGAAAGAAAGTGAAAAATAATTTCATGCGAAAACTATCAGGCAAAATAGCTAGATAAATCAGTGTCACAGAAGATGGTCTTTATGACACCTTAATTCTCAGCTGATACAGCTTTATAAATAAACACCTGCATATTAAAATGCCCAGGAAAATATTCATTGACAAGTCTGTTCATTTAAGTAAGTGGTTAATATGGTCCATACAGCTTGATCTAGCACAAAATGTAGCTGCTTTGTTATTAATTTTTTCTGATGAAATCCAGTATTGTAATAAAATAATATTGAAACATTTCTAAAGATTTCAAAGTATGCAAATTATGTGCATGTTTAAAGAGTTGTGCATAGCTATGAAAATCCTAAAGCTAGACTGAACGTAACTAAGAATATCTGTTGTATCTAAATAGCTGTTTGCACTTTCACAGATTCCTGTATCATCATATTTTTAGGAATTAATTTTAAATACTTTTTATATTTAAAAAACTGGTCTTGTTGATCTCTAAAGATTTTTTTAAATGCAGTGTCTCAGATTTAAATCTGACTCTAGTCACTTGCTTTTTATAGTATTGTTTTATTTTTAATATTTGTCAATATTTTAATAGGATACCGATTTGAAGAAAACTGTTGATGAGAGTGCACGGATCCAGAGAGCTTATAGTCACTACTTTGATCTGATTATTGTGAATGACAACCTAGACAAAGCTTTTGAGAAGTTGCAAACTGCTACAGAGAAATTGAGAATGGAATCACAGTGGGTCCCAATTAGCTGGGTATACTGAGTTCTTTTAAAGATGAAACAACGTCATGTAATGTTGAAACAAACACTATACTAAGAAAATATTGTACAGTGGTGCCAGATCCTTGGCAGGACCCAATATGTTTTTATTTTATGTATATTAAAATAATAGTATGCTAGTCAAAAAATTTTATACAAAATGTTGAAGGGAAAGTGTACTTAATATGTAATTTATTTTAATTTTTCTAACTTTTTACAAATAACCTTTTTATTCATATCACATGAAGGAAATGCGTTGAAGCATTTTAATAAATGTTTTGATTTACTACTTTGCCTTTATTCATCTAAAGAACTTTCCAGTCATTCATTTATACATTTGATCTTACATTTTCACTGTGATAAGGAGAAAAATACTTGAAAAGGTTTTTGTAAAACTCTGTTTTAAATCAAATGTTTCATCTGATTAGTTTTTATTATTTAGATATAATCCTTGTTCTAATAAGCATATCATCTTGACATAAGCAGAACTTTTAATAAAGCAACCAGCACTGAGCCATGTTACTGAAGCATATTTGCTTAATGTTTATTCATGTTTTGCAGCTGTTTTGTCTTAGACAGATGTACTGTAGACTTTTATGTAGATTCTCTTTTTACATAAATGTAAAAGCAATATCTTGAACTTTCCCTAAGAGACCCTTTTAAAAAGCCAACATTTCAACCCATTCAGTAAGTATTTTTCAAATAATTCTCGTAATGTAAATTCATTGTGTTTGAGGTAATGGTGAAGTAGCCTGAAAGAACCTCATGCTACAGTCTTAGTGAAGAGCTCAGCATGTAGAATGTATGTTCTTAGTTGTGGAAAACTCATAGCTTAGAGGAACAAAATCTGCTTTTTTATTATGACCTCGCTCTGTATTTGTATATCGTTCTATAACGACTGGCTTTTAGTTTATACCAGAGTATTTATGAGTGATTTTGTGTGTTATAAAAACGTGATGTGATGGGGCTTTGAGCTGATCCTTTGTGTTACATGGCTTTATTCACCAAATAGAGTGTGAAACTAAAATTATTGTCAAATGCTAAAATTCAGTGTTATTTATCAAATAATTTATTTTTGTTTCACACTCATGTTTTATAGTGTTAGCCAATAACTCTTCCCTTAGTTAGTTAATCATGTTAGATTCATATTTACTGATTTCATAAATACATTTCTGATATTCTATTGAGGGGATGTAGATACGGATGAGCCATACTGGCGCAGTGGTTAGAGTGCAGTACTCTAGGCTACTTCTGCTGCTCACCGGCTGCCAGCAGTTTGGCAGATCAAATTTTACCAGGCTCAAGGCTGACTCAGCCTTCCAGCCTTCCATCCTTCCAAGGTGGATAAAATGAGGGCCCAGATTGTTGGGGGCAATATGCTAACTCTGTAAACCGTTTAGAGAAGGCTTTAAAGCACTGTGAAGCGGTATATAAGTCTGTGCTATTGCTTTACTAAGAGGAAATAATCTGATGATCATATTTTATATTATGCCTGCTGTTATAAATAGAGCCATCCATTGCTAACACACAGAGGACCTGAGGTGGTTATCATCCCCCCATTTTATTTTGCATATGAGTTTGGTCACTAGGATTACAGAACTTATTTTCAATACCAAAGTATCATACACAAGATGCCAACAATGAAAAAAATATTGGAAAGGGCCAAGACAGTACAAGCTAGCTTTTAAGTATTTTGGCTTTTAAGATGCACAAGGAAACAGGGTTTCAATAATTTTTAGTTTATATAGAGAAATGTTGATACCAAAAAGGTATTGTAGATTTAAAAAACCCTTTGTGGTATTTTTTTAAAGACTTAAGTATATTTTGTAAATGTTATGCAAATAATTGCATATGTGTCTTAATTGCTATTGGTATTTAGAAATTAGCTTCTAACAATATGAAATATTATACAGAAATTTATTTCTGTTGCATTAATTCTGTAGATAGGCTGATGTTAAATATTTAAAAATATGTATACCTAGGTCTGGGGGGAGGAGGGAAATTCCAGTACCCAAAATGAAATTTTACTCTGTAATTTCAATGTCATTGTAAGGTTATGAAGTGGGATAAAGTGAAAAAATGACTATACTTTTACTGAATATAATGCTGTTTGGAGATTGAGTAGAAGGCATTATTGAATCCTCAAGTCAAATAACTGTTTCTCATTCCTTTGTTTTCTAATATTACATTATATAGCATTCCAGTTGGTTTGTTGCTACTGCTCTTTGCTAGATGAGAGTTTGGGCTGCATTTTAAGTAGCCGTGATTCTGTTCAGATTCTACCTGAACCATCTTTTTTAAAAAAATAAAATGTTCTCAAGCAGAATACTCAATCTACTCCTGTCTTATTTTGTTTCTAGCCCTTGATCTGTATTATCCACTCCTGTTGGAAAGCAGAAGGTTTTTCCAATTGGCCTTAGTTCAAGGAGAGTTTAGCAAGTGATTAAAGGAATGCAAGTGATTTTGGTTTTAAGGCTCAGAAGCTCAGTGCTGTCAAAAGCAGGAAGGAGGAAGAACAGAATATCAGTATTTGCCTTAATGGCTTTCTAAAGAAATTGTTAACAGTAGGGAATTGGTCAAGAAACATTTTATATTTTCTCTGGACAAGACTTTTTGTTCTGGTACTCTTATATCATCTTGGAAGAACTGCTCATCACAAAATTCACTCTTGGCATTAATGTGGAAATTTAAACCACAGGTCCCAAATGTAACAGGAAGAGTTAGTTTGCTGCCATGCATAAGAATTACTGCATTTGATATAAAATACACCTCTATGCTCAATGGCAGAATATCGCTGCACGTGATATAGGCCATTTACTGATTTTGCTGTCTGGCTGTATGAATAAATAAAACTTTGAATAGAGACCCATGCATTTATCCTCCCACTGAATGGCAGCAATGGAGAAGTATGTAACAGGCAAAATGCTTCTAAGGACAGTACTATGATGCTAAATTTAGTAAATGAGGTGCAGAATGGATTAATTGGGAAAGTGTAAATTGGAGGCAGAACATTTTAAGTGTCCTCTTTGTCTGCAACTGCAGAGTTCCTGTCAATGATCTGAACTGATAGATTGCAAATTCCTGTGGATAATAAATCTAGAATATACCAGAAATGTTATACCACTTTCCTCAAAGGATAAAGTATATTTATCCTTCCTTCATTAATAGAGTAAATGAGAAATCATGTAAGGGCGATTCCATGTATAAGTTCAGTATAAAAATGGAAAATGCGTCTTTGCTTAACATGTGTATGTGAAATGGTATGACAATATTGCTTGCTGATATTAGGGTACATAATTATCTGTACCAAAGTAAATATATATTGAAATATATATGCTAAGTGTATAGGTATGCCTATGTAATAATAGTAGAAAACAATGGTTTATGCAAAGGCCTAAACTAACATGGATCAGTAAATACTATTCATTGTTCTGTGCTATAGTTTTACCAAAAATTATGAAATGAAAAAAATCAATAAAAGTGCATGACAGTTATTAAAACATTACTTACCCATTACGGCAGTCCTTAATTGTATTTTAGTTTTTTTTAAAAAAAAAAATTCCATAAATTTATATAGTTTGTAAATTATGATAACTTTAAAATTATACCTAAACTACAATTGGTCATACTGAATTCATGGGGACTACGAAGTTCCAGGAATATATAGTTGTTATATATTTATATAAGCTTTTCATTTATCTTAAATTTATAATAAAATGCAGAATTATATGAATCATGCTGAATCAGACCTAAATCAAAGCTAATTTTAGTTTCTAATGTAAAAATGCCTATTTCTATATAGCCAATAACTGAATATTCAACGAAAAGCTGCTACTGTTTCAGAAAGACAGTTGTCATAATCAAGGAAAATTCTATAAAAAAAACTTTAGAGCAAGAGCTAAAGAAAGAGAATAACAGAAGCTAAGGGATGTTTTAAACCAAGAGTCCCCAACTCCCAGGCCGCAGTCCACTTACCGGGCTATAGCCCATTCCAAACCAAGTTGCAGAAGAGGCGGCAAGTGCACAAGTGTGTTCAGCTCTACTTGTAACACACAGCAGTCTGACAAGCATGTGTGTACAGTTCCATTTGTGCGAGTGGCAGGCACACGTGGAACCATCCCCTTCAGGTTTCAGGAAAAACTCTGTATCTCTCTATTCAACCTACTAGTGTCACAGAGAAGCAGAAAGCTTAAAATAATTATGTACAAAATATTTGAGTAATTTTTTTATGGTTAAAAGATTTGGAAAAAGAAAATACCCAAAATAAACAGCAATAATTTAACTGCTAAGATATCTACACAAGATTTGATAAATCTATCAATAATAATAATTTCTCAAGCTTTGGGTTCTTAAAAACGATGAGGTATTGTTTCAGCAATTTGTAGAATCAGTAGCAACTGCTGTTTTTGAGAAAGATGTAGATTTTTGAATGCAAACTATCTTGTTCAAATCTGTATATGATACTGATAGAAAGGATATTAGTTAGGTATGCACTTTTTGAATAAACATGTAAAATGTAGAACTTTTTTTTTGGAATATTTGAAATTCATTCAATTCATGTTCTTGAGTATTTTTTTATCTGCTGAGAATCAAATATAGTTTAAATCAATTGCACATTATTACTATTTTGCTGTCTTGTCTTGGTTCATTTGGCAGGAGTTCCCATCATAAACCTTGGAAACTTTCAGAGAAAACAAAGCAACTATCTCAAGAGCTGCGTTTATCATGTCATATTGAAATATTTTTGTTTATGATGCAAATTGCTTTGGATTGGTTTTCCATTAAAGTTCATCGTGACTAGAAATATGTACTGGATAATCCTTTCTCTAGAATATTAAAGCGGCAACTTCCATGAGAAAAAAACCAAAATCTTAGGCAACAAACTAATGAGCCTCTTATGTATCTATTTCATTACATAGATAATCCTCAATTTACAACCAGTCACTTAGCAACTGTTGAAAGTTACAAAACCCACCCCCCACAAAAAGGGACATTACCTGGATTTGAAGTTCTGATGACCACCCTCTGGACAGTCACATGATCATACTCTGGATACTGAATAATTGTTCCATAAATAAGCATTTGCAGTATCCTGCAGTCATGTGACAGCAATTTACATTTTTTGGGGAACTGATGTTTACTTCTGGCTGCCAGAAAAAAGCACTCATTTATGGACAATGAGTTTACTTAACAACTACTGTAAAAGGCCCTAAAACTGGGCGTGGACTAGTGATGATGTATTTAAAATCCATCATGACTAATAATGATAATTTCAGGTTCAATTATTGTGGTAAGTTGAGGAATACCTTTATCTCAGATCGCTTGTTTATCTTTTTTCTTTCAATGTCCTTGCCTTATACCGGCTTTCTCGACATAACTGAATTTTTTGAGGCTTCTTGCTATTAAACGAATTGTCCATTTATAAGATCGAACATTTTCCTAATGTTCAAGTACAATAGCTGAAAATCATGTCCAGTCTTACAACAATTGATGTTAGTTGTGCCCCAACATGAGGGTAAGAAAAAAATCTGATTAGGGGTTCAGGTGCATATATAGTAGTTATACTTTTTTTAAAAAAAAATGTAATGTGTTAGCTAGAGAAAGATGTTTTAACTTGGAAACTATTAAAATAATATATCTTGGATGCACTGTCATATCATTTCTTCAAATGTGTATTGTATCGAGATCTACATTTCTTTGTGAATTATATGTAGCTATTTTGTGTTTCTAAGATTAGATGATAGAAAATCATTAGGTACATTTTAAAATAATGACTTCTGTTAGACTTATGCAGTATAATTTTTATTGCTTCAACTCTTAACATTTCTATTAAACGGTAACTTTTTTCAAATGTGTACTAATATTGACACACCTAGGACAATAGAAGATTTAAATGGGATAGGAAATTTTAATGTCTTTCCATACTGTAAATCACAACAAAATTGCCACATAGATCAGATTAAGAAGTTCTAAAAAAGAATCATAAAAATTTTGGTGAAATTTCATAGGACAAATGTGTACTATTCAGTTAAACTTTTTTTTTAATGAACTAATGTTTCCCCATTTAAGTTGTTTATCATTGTTGAAATGTATAAAACTGTGAAATCCTGAAAACTCCTAAGAAAGTTATTTTTGTATATATGAAATAAAATCTAATATTTGAAAATTCAGTGTGATCTCTTATGAATTGCATTCTTACTGCACAGAACAGGCATCAGAAAAGGAAGCAGGAAAGAGGCAATACAGTAGGCCTTCCTTGCAATAGATGTTATAATTTTATATTGAATGATATATAAAAACTTATCAATATGAAATAACAAGTCATCCTATTTTTACACTGCATATCCTAATTAAAATGCTGAAAAAAACATTCCATATACCTTATAATAGCATTTAATAAGTGTCGTGAAAATAATATCCAAAATCTGTTAACTTCCACTGGTTGAAGCCATATGGCTTTGCTAACAAGTGGATGGAATTGAATGGGTTTTATATACCTTTGTGAATACAGATTCACAAAGATTACATTTCACTCCTTAACATACATCCCCCCCCCCCAACTCCTCAATCTAAAACAAGAAGCTCTGAGACCTGGAATTTTGGTACACTTCACATGAATCAAATAGGGTAAATAAAAATTCCTTTATAACTAGAAAGATTAAAAATATGATTCTCAAAATGGATGCTGCCATTCCCAGCTTCTCTACCACACCATAAAGAAAAACACATGGAAACGTGCTACATCTTTTGTGACATTTGGCTCTAATCTAATAATGGCTCCAAAGGAAAGTCCCAACATTTCAGATCATGCTTTAACTTTATTTCTGTGCTGCTGTTTTTTAATGTTAATTGCTTAAATGGTCCTTTCAATTATTCTCCTGCTACATGATGGTCTTTGCTCAGTTTTGAATACACTCTGTTGTACACTCTAATTCAGGGGTCCCCAACCTGTGGACCAGCACTGGGCCCTGGGATGCAGGCAACATGCAAAACCACCTCCCTCCAGTTTGCGGAAAAACCTCCCTCCATAGAACAGATCCCTGGTGCCCAAAAGATTAGAGCCGCTGTTCTAGTTTATAAGGAAAATAAGATTAGTACTGAAGCACAATAATTAGTACAAGGAATTCTTCAATGGCAAGTCCAGTGCTAAATGAAGCCATTGCTAAATGGACCTCGCTATCTTGTATGCATCAAAAGCAATGCAACTGTGTCACAAACTAGGACTGGAGCCATTCTCTTGAAATCCGTTTCTCCAAACCCTCCACTCACATGTGGGTGGGATGGGAAGAAAAAAAACCAAGCAATTTTTGCAGGCAATTTCTCCTTTCCTACTGCCAGTATGACGATAATATGTAGAACAGCAAAGAACTTGCTTTGTTGAAATCTCTCTCTCCAAGGGGTGAGGGATATATGAAAGAAGAAGAAAAATCACAGGTCTGGTCCATGCCACTAGCTGTAATGGCATTCATATGGCTGAGGGATGCTGTGAAGGTTGTGAATGGCGGTAAATGAACCATAAAATTACTTTTTTCTGCACTGTTGTAACTTTGAATGGTTGCTGAATAAATGGCTGAAAAGTGAGGACACGTAATCTTTCTAAACTTTAAAATAATACAGGAGAATCAAACATCTCGCCAAGTATCCCTGCATGGGTTTCTTTTTTATCTTTGCATCTTTTCATTCATATAATTAATTTCAGCATTTGCCTTGCTCCAATAACATAGCCCATTGGCAGCTATTCCAATTGCATGGAGACAAATCTAGTGGGTTCATAATTAAGAGGCATTAAACAGAGATACTTGTAGTATTAAACTATTGAAACAGCTTCATCAGTTCTTGTCTTTTTCACAGCCTAATGCATGGAGGCCATTCAATGCTATATATAGAACGACTGGGGAAAAGCTGGATTTTTTCATGGTTGTAGCTTTGATAGAAGATTCCATCATTTCAAGGTTAATGTTTGATAAAGCGAATAGCCTTTGTGCTATCCGAAACTTTCCTGGGTCAGCAAGTGAAGCCAGTACAGGGTCTGCAAGTGTCACTGTACCATCTTCTGAGGTCATATTAGGCTGCTCAAAGACAGAAAGACATTGATTAAAAGCATTTCCACAATAGTACAATTTTTAAATAATGGCAAAAAAGACAATTTTTTAATATGTGAAGCTAACTAATCTGGGAATGGAACATCTGGAAAACACTGGAATTTTATTTCAAATTACATCAATTTGGTCATTGAAAGTGCCTAACAGTTTTCCAGAAATTAATCTTCAGAGATTCAGGAACCGTAGTTTTTTCACGTTCTTAATAATGCAACAAATTAGGGGATCAATGCAATGTAATGGTCAAAGTATGCTATATTAGATTGCAAGGCCAAATCCAAATACCCATTTTGGGCAACTTTGCTGATGATCTAAAGGCTTTTGTCAGAATCAAAATGAGGGTAGTTCATTGGAAGAAATGCTGGATATAAATGAAATGAAATAAATAAAAATACTCATCTGTTATTCCAGCCAAAGCTCTGTGCAACAGTCTCTTCAATAGTGACACCATCTGTGCAGCATTTCATAAACTACAATTCCTAGCAATCTCTCAGGGTAGATTGGGAAAATGTAAAGTATTACTAATTATCTCGAAACTCTCAATTAATTTAACCCTTTGTCCTTTTCTTTATCTCAGGCTTTAAATGTCTTTGGATTTCTATTTCACGTTCCTTTTCCAATTTATTGTGAAAAGGAACAGCATATCTATTGTTAAGTATGTTTGCACGTGCATATTTGAGGGCTGCACAAATCAGCACAAATCCTGATTCTGTTCAGATTTGAGATCTGAAGTGGCATGATTTGAGAATGAACCTGCTTTGTGGTTCTATTTAGGAGGAAATGCCCAAGGTTAACTAAATGCCTGTAGGTGATTCATTTTCGGCAGCATGATATCAAATGGAATACAGAAATAGAGAACAATCCTTCCATGGATCAGCTAGGTATCTCTAAGGGTTTTGAAATAGAGGAACAGTCCGTTAGTCTCCAAATTGTCTAGCAAAAAGCCTGGTGTCTCAACTAGTAAAGCATTGAAGCAATGCTAAAGATGTCCAGGGTCTTTAAAAAGTTCATAAACAGCTAAAGAAGCAAGTACTTATTTTTCTGTCTTGCTTTCTGTGAGTGTCCAGGCTTGGTATGGTAACGATATTGAAAAATGACCATAGACATATCTTTGTGATGTTTGCTGCATCTGATTGCCAAGTTATCTGGGGTGTGAGGAAGATTGCCATTACTAGTTGACAAACTTGATTCCTTCCAAGTAGGGCCCCTTTATCAGTGTTACAATTCACTCTGATTGAGCTGGGAATTCTGCATGTTGATAGAGGCTATCTAATACAATAAGACCCAATGCCACAGAATAGTATACTACATATACCAGTATTTACAGTGGGGCAAAAAAGTATTTAGTCAGCCACCAATTGTGCAAGTTCTCCCATTTAAAAAGATGAGAGAGGCTTGTAATTGACATCATAGGTAGACCTCAGCTATGAGAGACAAAATGAGAAAACAAATCCAGACAATCACATTGTCTGATTTGGAAAGAATTTTTTTGCAAATTATGGTGGAAAATAAGTATTTGGTCAATATCAAAAGTTCATCTCAATACTTTGTTATATATCCTTTGTTGACAATGACAGAGGTCAAATGTTTTCTGTAAGTCTTCACAAGGTTGGCACACACTGTTGCTGGTATGTTGGCCCATTCCTCCATGCAGATCTCCTCTAGAGCAGTGATGTTTTGGGGCTGTCGCTGGGTAACACTGACTTTCAACTCCTTCCAAAGGTTTTCTATGGGGTTGAGATCTGGAGACTGGCTAGGCCACTCCAGGACCTTGAAATGCTTCTTACGAAGTCACTCCTTCGTTGCCCGGGCGGTGTGTTTGGGATCATTGACATGCTGAAAGACCCAGCCACGTTTCATCTTCAATGCCCTTGTTGATGGAAGAAGGTTTGCACTCCAAATCTCACGATACATGGCCCCATTCATTCTTTCCTGTACACGGATCAGTCGTCCTGGTCCCTTTGCAGAGAAACAGCCCCAAAGCATGATGTTGCCACCCCCGTGCTTCACAGTAGGTATGATGTTCTTTGGATGCAACTCAGCATTCTCTCTCCTCCAAACACGACGAGTTGTGTTTCTACCAAACAGTTCTACTTTGGTTTCATCTGACCATATGGCATTCTCCCAATCCTCTTCTGGATCATCCAAATGCTCTCTAGCAAACTTCAGATGGGCCAGGACATGTACTGGTTTAAGCAGGGGGACACGTCTGGCACTGCAGGATCTGACTCCCTGGCGGCGTAGTGATGGTAGCCTTTGTTACGTTGGTCCCAGCTCTCTGCAGGTCATTCACTAGGTCCCCCCGGGTGGTTCTGGGATTTTTGCTCACCGTTCTTGTGATCATTTTGACCCCACGGGGTGAGATCTTGCGTGGAGCCCAAGATCGAGGGAGATTATCAGTGGCCTTGTATGTCTTCCATTTTCTAATTATTGCTCCCAGAGTTGATTTCTTTGCACCAAACTGCTTACCTATTGCAGATTCAGTCATCCCAGCCTGGTGAAGGTCTATAATTTTGTTTCTGGTGTCCTTCGAAAGCTTTTTGGTCGTCACCACAGTGGAGTATGGAGTATGAATGTTTGAGGTTGTGGACAGGTGTCTTTTATACTGCTAACAAGTTCATACAGGTGCCATTAATACAGGTAATGAGTGGAGGACAGAGGAGCCTCTTAAAGAAGAAGTTACAGGTCTGTGAGAGCCAGAAATCTTGCTTGTTTGTAGGTGACCAAATACTTATTTTCCACCATAATTTGCAAAAAAATTCTTTCCAAATGTGATTGTCTGGATTTGTTTTCTCATTTTGTCTCCCATAGTTGAGGTGTACCTATGATGTCAATTACAGGCCTCTCTCATCTTTTTAAGTGGGAGAACTTGCACAATTGGTGGCTGACTAAATACTTTTTGCCCCACTGTATATTATAAGATGAATATTACAACAGTATTATAAATCCTGTTCTTAAAAACACTAAATGTTTTAGCAAGGAAAGCATCACCTTAATCTTTATTGAGAACTCAAATTCTGTCACAACTATATAAATTTTAAGTTTTGACTAAAAGTTGTGTTACCCTCAAAATTGGATAGGTAGGATAGAACATTCCATTAAAACAAGGCAGATCAATGTTAAGATCCTGTACAGCAAATAGAAATGAATGAAAACAATACAAGGCTTGGATCTCCAAAAGAACTCTTATAGACACAGGTCAATCTAATTGGCTACTTAGGTTACCGACAGAGAGACCATTGTAATATCATTGTACCTCATATCTCAGCACATTGTTTTTTTTTTATCTGTAGTCTCCCAGAAGCAATAGAAAAGCCATTCTATCTGTGCAGCACTTTGAAACATTACACAGCGCTTTGAATCAGATCATTACTCAGCTGGTCCTCTGGTTTCAAGGGAGTAATTCTATCAAACTATCACTTCTTGCCCTGTGATTCTGCTGTTCACAGCTCAAGACCACAATTATAGCAATACCACCCATTAACAATAAAGCATTACAAATGGGCAAGCAAAAGCAGAAATAACCATTCACACTTCCAAAAGTTGACACAAAAACTTATCTACATCAAAATGTTGCTGAACAAATCCCTGCCAATAGTCAGGATGCAAGATATTGTCATCGCTTCTTGCAATCAAAACTGGTTTTATCTAAGCAGGTCAGAACTATATCGGCCCCTCCCCTTTATTGTTTTCCCATCTATTTCAAAAGGGAGTGGTAGATAAGTAGGAACTAAAGGAGCACATTTGAAGGGGACAAACTACAAATATTTGTGTACAAAAGATCTCAATCTATTTCTGATAAGAGAATGGAATTACTATGGCCACAAGATAAACTAGAATGGAGGAGTAAAAGTGCAGATGATAGCAAAAAATGAACAAAAAATCTAGTTACAATAAATACTTTTATTAAATAATTGTTAATTCCTACTGACTTATTTAATGGAATGTATGAAGTTTCTATGCAGTATTTATTAAGTTCTCTATTATAGGTTGTATTCTGTAGGTTTTATTAAGATTTAGATAATCTGAGTTATAATCTGTAGTAATAAAGAATATGAATTCAAAAAAACCCTATGTGATTTGGAAAAATGTGTATTTTTTTTTAGTATAAGAAACAGACCAAATGTTGATAGTGTTTTTCAGATATCAGATTATTACTTGAAGTACCATAATTATGACAAAATGCTTATAAAATCAGTGATTGCTTTTTATTCAGTTTTGTACTAATTTTTCTTATCTTTCCTGCTGTGAATTGCCTTGAAGGATAATGTGTATGACATTAAAATACAATTTCCATTTAGTGCTAGCTAATTTCTTAAAATGAATGGAATATATATTCTATAAGGGCTGGAAGAGATATGCCATGAATAAGTACTACTGAGAACCAGCTGCTAGAGCTTATGCTATTTTAACACATTTCCAACTTAAATTTACAGGACTTACCAAGAAACACAGGGTAGGGACAAGCTGGAGGTCACAGCAGGCTATCAGCAGACATAGAGAATAACTTGACAGTTCTGAAGAAAAGAAATAAAAGAAAAACAAAAACTTTTTAAAATATAAAAGAATCATTCCTGCTGAGCACTGAGTCATAGGCCTCTGAAATCTTTCTGAATAACTCAAAAAATAGGGCAGTATGTTCTCCAAGTCCACATAGAAACTAGAATCTGTCAAAACAGAACAATTTATGTTGTTCCTAAAAGAGAATGTCTTGAGAATGTATATCGCCATGCTGAAAAGAACATTCCCAAATGTGTGTACTTCACAATTGAATCTTGCCTTTAAATTACTATTATTCAGACAATCTAAAATTCATTCCTGCATTTAAAAGGTTTGACAAATGGAATCCGACTACTTCAAAATTGCATCTCTAAGCACGTTGTAAGATATGATTCAGTTAGAAATGAAAACTGAGACAACTTCAGTATATATTCAAAAAACATAAATAGAATAGAAAATAAAAGATTTTCTATTTTTTCTCAAAAATAAAGATTTCATATCTGTTAAATGGATAGATAGCATCACTGATAAAGAATACAGGTATTCTTGAGTTACAAGTGAAACTCGAAAAATTAGAATATCGTGCAAAAGTTCATTTATTTCAGTAATGCAACTTAAAAGATGAAACTAATATATAAGATAGACTCATTACAGGCAAAGCAAGATAGTTCAAGCTGTGATTTGTCATAATTGTGATGATTATGGCTTGCAGCTCATGAAAACCCCAAATCCACAATCTTAGAAAATTAGAATATTACATGCAATTAATAAAACAAGAATTGGACATAGAACAATATCAGACCTCTGAAAAGTATAAGCATGCATATGTACTCAGTACTTAGTTTGGGCCCCTTTTGCAGCAATTACTGCCTCAATGCGGCATAGCATGGAAGCTATCAGCCTGTGGCACTGCTGAGATGTTTTGGAAGACTAGGATGCTTCAATAGTAGCCTTCAGCTCTTCTGAATTGTTCGGTCTCATGTCTCTCATCTTTCTCTTGGCAATGCCCCATAGATTCTCTATGGGGTTCAGGTCAGGCGAGTTTGCTGGCCAATCAAGCACAGTAATCCCACGGTCATTGAACCAGGTTTTGGTGCTTTTGGCAGTGTGGGCAGGTGCAAAGTCCTGCTGGAAAATGAAGTCAGCATCCCTATAAAACTCGTCTGCGGAAGGAAGCATGAAATGCTCCAAAATCCCTGGTAGACAGCTGCGTTGACCCTGGACTTAATGGACCATCACCAGCAGATGACGTGGCTCTCCAAATCAATACAGACTGTGGAAACTTCATACTGGACTTCAAGCATCTTGCAGTTGGTGCCTCTCCATTCTTCCTCCATACTCTGGGTCCTTGGTTTCCAAATGAGATGCATCAGAAATGAAGACTTTGGACCACTGAGCAACAGACTAGGTCTGTTTTTCTTTAGCTCAGGTAAGACGCTTCTGATGTTGTTTGTTGTTCAGGAGAAGCTTGACAAGAGGAATACGACATTTGAAGCCCATGTCCAAGATCCATCTGTGTATGGTGGCTCTTGATGCACTGATTCCAGCCTCAGTCCACTCCTTGTGAAAGTCCCTAACACTTTTGAATGGCCTTTTCCTGACAATCCTCTCCAGGCTGCGGTCATCCCTGCTGCTTGTGCACCTTTTCCTTCCACACTTTTCCCTTCTACATAACTTTCTATTAATGTGCTTTGATACAGCACTTTGGAAACATCCAACTTCTTTTGCAATTACCTTTTGAGGCTTTCCCTCCTTATGTTGTCAATGATGGTTTTCTGCACAACTGTTAGTCAGCAGTCTTTCCCATGATTGTGATTCCTACTGAACCAGACTGAGAGACTATTTAAAGGCTCAGGAACTCTTTGCAAGTGTTATGGCTTAATTAGCTGATTAGTGTGGAACATTTTGAGCCTAGAATATTGCACCTTTTCACAATATTCTAATTTTGTGAGATTGTGGATTAGGGGTTTTCATGAGCTGTAAATCATAATCATCACAATTATGACAAACCACAGCTTGAACTATCTTGCTTTGCATGTAATGAGTCTTTATCTCATATATTAGTTTCACCTTTTAAGTTGCATTACTGAAATAAATGAACTTTTGCACTATATTCTAATTTTTCGAGTTTCACCTGTATGATTATAAAGACATAACTCATGATGGTTAAAAAGCAAGATGATGTGACTGACCTGATTTTATTAATTTTGTGGGGTTCAGAAGGCAAACCCCACAGTTGTCAAGCAAACCTGTGGTTCAGCATGAGCGAATTTTGCTGAAAACTGAGAGTAAATATCAATTTTCAACATCACAGTAATAAAATCTGATTAAGTGAATGGAGGATGCTGCTAACAACCATCAATATCGGTTGGTCATTGATACATGAACTACAGTCACACAACTGCAGGAAATTTGAATCTGGGTTTTAGTATCCCTCAGGTAAGTTCCTCAAACGAGGCAACCAGTCATAAGTTAAATGTACCAGTGCAGAGTGTTTATGGTATGAAGAACAGCCTGGATATATTGAATTATACAAGGTGTTCAAGCTCAACAGCATATAGGCTTTTAGATGAAGTGAAAGGCTTGCTGGAGATATGTATAGAGCTTGGTTGAATGATGATACAGACACTAATGAAAAACAAATAAATGATGAAAACTCCAAAAACAGGTAAGAGGATAACAGAGGATCAAAAAAAGAACCTTCAGATGGCTTTAAGGAAAAATTAGAGAAATATTTTTTCTCGACCCAATACTGAGTGATTCTGTAGGAGCACCCACTGGATGAGCAATAAGATAGATAGGCAAAAGAATAAGTGACAGAAACTTAATGCATGATAGGATCAAGATAACAATGTAATTAACCATACCAAAGGGAAAAATATGAAATTAAAAATCCCTGTTTAACAACAAAAATAATCTGAGATTATAAAAAATTCAGTTTTATTTCAAAGAACTTCATGGGTCCACAAGAAGATCAATACTTCAACACTGAGAAAGTGTTTCTCCCAAAATACCTCCATGACATCGAAGACTGATTAGAGCAATGATTCACAAACAGTGCTATTAAGCTGGGGCTCTAAGTAGGATTTAAAGTAAATCATTGCAATGTAAAGTCTGTGGCGTTAAATCTTACATAGGTGACAAATATAATAACAGAATCTTTGAAAATATATGAATGTCATTCTTGGAAAAAGTGTGGGTTTCTATAATGGTGGGAAGGTGATTAGTTCTAAGACTCTAAAAAGATCCAAACATAGAGTCTTTATTTTATCACTGAATCAGGAGTCAGTGATCTGAACACAGAGTGAAGAAATGATAAATATGATCTTAGTATGTTATCAGAAAACATAAATTAAATACTAAGTATCTGTAAAACTAGGATAAATGACAAAGATATCTAGGAAATGTAATGTAAAATGTAAAAAAGATTAATTTTGTTTAAAAACAGCCTTTTTGTTTAGAGATACTGAATTTTAAATGGAAATTAATGATCTAAGACTTGATTACCTGAGATTATTAAAATATTTAATTAATAAGTAGGCAATTCTAGTCAGCATTCTTTTCCTTTGTTTAGTTCAATTTCTTTCTAAATTATTACTTTTAAGACAGACTCCAAAGCGCTGTAATTTATACCACTGACATAAAAGCTTGAACCTTTCTTGTTTCTTTCTTAGTAGCAGTAAATAAATTTAGCACACAAGATGAGTAATATTCACCATGTGAATTCAAATGAAAAAGCCATCATTTAAAGGCAGTTGAGGTTAAATAATTCCTATGCTGAAAGCTAGGGAGGTGACCTTGAAGCAAATTTTTGGAAACCCTTATGTAAATACTGTGAAGAGGACAGAAGCTTTCCTTAAGTCTGTGGAAATATTAGAAAGACAGAATGACTTCTCCCTTATTCACAAGAGGCATAAGAAGAAGGGGAGAAACAGTCAGATTTACAAGTTATTATTATAGCTTATCTCAATAAACTTTAATTCTGATTTCCTAATCAGGTGGCTAAGAGGGACATGTTGGCTCAGTGGCTAAGATGCTAAGCTTGTTGATCAGAAAGGCCAGCAGTTCAGCGGTTTGAATCTCTAGCGCCGTGTAATGGTGTGAGCTTGTTACTTGTCCCAGCTGTCAGGCCTGCAGCCATCTTTTCTTTTGGACTTCAAACCCGCCACAGTTTCTATTATTTTACTCTGCATTTTTCTTTGAGGAAAAATGGGAGGGAGGATTATATGGAGTTGGGTAATATGTGGCCATAACAAAATTATTTCTAGAAAGCCAAGGTCATCCTTTGTCTCTGCACCTGGCTGCAACTGCATGGGTTGAAGCTGCTAGCGTGGCAGTGGAAGATTGGACCATGTGATGGACTTGTGGGTGTAGGGGCAGGATCTTGAACTTTCAACTGGGTGGGAAAACCTGGAAGCTTTCAGATTAGGGTTTTCCCAGATGTGCCCACATGGCTCTCTTAATAATTTGGAACTTTGAGGAATTCTTTGCCTATGATTTACTTTTGGATGTTATTTGGAACCCTGACAGCAGCTTCTGATAACCTAGCAGTTCAAAAGCACATAAAAATGCAAGTAGGAAAATAGGGACCACTTTGGTGGGAAGATAACAGAACTCTGTGCGCCTTCGGCGTTTAGTCATTTCAGCCACATGACCACGGAGACGTCTTTGGACAGAGCTGGCTCTTTGGCTTTGAAACGGAGATGAGCACCGCCCCCTAGAGTCGGGAACGACTAGCACATATGTGCGGGGAAACCTTTACCATTAATCAGGTCTACCTTGAAGGATTGACATCCAAGTACCATACCTTTAGTTCTCCATTCCTTTATACTTTATGCACCAAGAATTTCCTCTATATTCACAAACTAAATTTACAAAGTGTTTTCCCTCCCTACACAATACTATAAATCTGAGACGGAAAACCCTACCTGCTCTGAACAAAAAATCATTTTTAGAAGAAAACCACTCGCTTATTTATTTTTTTGTACCTGCCAGAGCACTGAGGAGGAAATGAGCAGCTAGGAAAAGCTCCTTATTGTGAACCTGTTGTTTGCTCTGTAAATCTACACCCACAAGCTGTAGAAATTCTTCTATATATGGTTTCTCTAATGACTTCAATTCCTCCATTGCTATGTTTCCTGGACTCCCCTCAGAACATATACTGTCCAGCTGCAAAAACAAAATAAAAAGGGAACAGACATAGTGGGCAAATTTAATCATACTCAAGAATAAAGTTAATCAGACCAAGTTTGACTTCCAATTGCCTCGACAGCTCTATGATGTTTCTTTCACAACAATATGGAAATGGTTTTTCACTGCATTAAAAAAACAAACAAACAAACTTCTCAATGTACCTTGAAGCCTTGGACATTATTGAGTTTCCTATCCAAATGTTAAGCAATGTTAAGCAACTCTGCTTAGCTTGTTATGAGATCATTCAAAATTGGTAGGTGATGCTACTTGCTGTGATCCAGAAAATAATGATGCACAAATCAGTCAAGACTAATAAAAATTCTATTGATTTCATATCGTGTGAAAACCTGACTCTTTTAAACTTTAACTCTATAATGCTAAGAAGTGCGGGAGAGGGGGGGAGAAAAACAGGATGACTAACAGTAATGTGGATGAATTCAGGTCTAACAATATTGGATCAGATTAAAGATAGATCATCCTAGAGACTATGCATCTATTAATCACCAAAATAACACTGATTTGATGGTAACAATTACTAAAATAATTAGAAATATATAATTAGAAACATACGCAATATTAGAGCAATCAAAACTACATTCCTTTCTTTATAAAGAACAAGCTTTAAAAAAGAGGAAAATTGCATGTAAATTACCACATTTTCTAGTTGCATCACTTTTTCTTCATGAAGCAAAAGGTCACAGATCATTTGGTATAAAGATCTCTGCTTTTTTTCTGATAAATTCATAAACGGTTGGAACTGGCTCTTTAATTGGAGAACATCTGAAATGTATTACACATGCATATTTAATCATTAAATAGAATCAAGTTAGGGAAGCTAATCCTAACAATTCTGAATGTAACGTATATTAATTTCATTTAAAAGATGTGTGTTTGTGTGTGTGTCTGTTTGTGTGAACATGCATGTTGGAAGTGTAACACATCATACTCATTTGCTTTTTTATGATCAAAACTGATCATTTTGATCCTAACTCAAATTTTAAAAATACATCCTATGATTTCATCAGAGGAAACTTGCATATACATAGTATTAACAGAGAAAATCAGAATTCAAATGAAATACATTTCTATAGTAGTTTGAATGTTGCCATGTGCAAAGAAATAAAATGGCTTGTTTGACCAGCATATCACATGAACCCAATCAATCTTGGTTTAGTTAGTAAACCATTGTTAACAGCTGTAATTTATCTTACCTTACATTTTCATTACATCTCCCTCACCCTCCTGAGGCATGCCTGCATTCCCTAGCCTTGGATTCTATCCACTCAATTATTACAACAGGGAGTACTTGGATTGTACTTGAGTGAGAGTTGCTGAGATGTCATATGACATCTCACTTAATGGTGACTTCACTCAACAAAGTTTGTGATCCCAATTATAAGCCCAGTACTACTTGTCCGTCTTGAAGCAGTTAATTAAAAAACTGCACATTCATGCAGTTGTAAACATTATTATTTGGAATAGTCTGCAGAGTGGTCTATATGAAAAGAAGTTATTTTGAGAAAGTATGCAAAGTATAATACTCTAGAATAGAGTTCCCCAACTAGGGGTACGAGGCGATATTCCAGGGGATGCAAAGTTTCAAAATTACAGTGTATATGGATAATTATAGGTATATAATTATTTACTTTTGTAAGGGGTGAGAGAATATATCAGAAGCATTCTAGGAGTGCGGGGTACAAAAAAGGTTGGGAACCCCTGCTCTAGAAATAAGCATTTTGCTTTAAAATTGCACTGCCAACATATTTTCATGTCTATAAATTTAAAGAGAATTTATGATTCCTTATTATATAAATCTAAAATTAAACCCTGTTGTATTAAGTTTATTGTTTAGTACAAAATCCAACAAATGTTTTGGAATTTACCACCTTTTTTGTGTATTGCACTAGTCACATCATTTAAGTGCTGAAAATGGCTTCACAAACAATTATTATCATGTTTTAGGATAAAGAATGTATCTTTTGCTACAGAAGGATAAAAGAGAGAATGTATGTATATATATATATGTATGTATGTGTGTGTGTGTGTGTGTGTATGTGTATATATATATATATGTGTGTGTGTGTGTATATATATATATATATATGTGTGTGTGTGTGTGTGTGTGTGTGTGTATGTGTATATATATATATATGTGTGTGTGTGTGTATATATATATATATATATGTGTGTGTGTG